CAATGAGATTAACTTCCGACCAAACACATTGACAGGGTTACTTCCACTCACTTGCTATAAAAAAATGTTTTTCAGAATTATGAAATTATGAGATGGTATAGTGATAATTAGTACTTGTAAATTACAAGATGAGGATGTGAAGTATGTGTTTGACACATAAAATCTGTCAATATTGCTTTCAGTGCGTCACAATCAGCAATTTTACGACTAGTGAGTGCTCACTCTGAGTGGACGCTCACGAATCATAAGATCGCTTATTGTGACGCTCTGAAAGCAAAATTGACAGGTTTTATGAGTCAAACACATACTTTAAACTCTCTTCTCGTTACTTACAAGTGCAGCATATAATTATATCATCTAATGATTGCATAATTCCGAAAAATATGTTTTTATAGCAAGTGAGTGAGAGCAACCCTGCATTGAAACGTCATTGAATTCACTTCGGCATACGGAAGAAGGCTGAAAAATTGATCGCTAGGAGCGCTTCTTTTGTTTTCGAGAAGAATGGTGGAAATATTCATATTACGTTTTATTATAGGCATTGTTTTGCAACTAAACTGCACTATCGTACCGAACCAATAATTGATACGTTCACATTGAAATCATTGATATATTTGATGTTTTTACTCGATATGAGGAAATGGGCGCTTATGCCGACGTAGTGCTTTACCCTATAATGATATTTTTCATTTGTAAGTTACAAGAAGAAGTTGAATAGTATGTGTTTGACACATAAAACCTCCCAACAATCAGTGAAAGCAGAATACGAGCTTATTCAGGCAAAAATATGCTTCTTCAGCTAAAAAAAATGCTTATTAAGCCTTTAATCAGCACAAATTGTTTGTTGTTTGTAAGTTACAAGCGTATGTGTTTGAAACCTGTCAATTTTGCTTTCAAAGGGTTCTTCATGAAGAGTAAATACTCACCGAGGGGAAGCCCCCTTGGCACAAAGTCGTTTGGCGTATAATTTTTTTTTCCAAATCGCCGTTTGGAAAATCCCGGCAAACTCAAAATGAAAAACTGGATCAAATGGTAGGTTAAAAAAAAAATGTTTACGTTATTTTTTTAACCTACCAATGGAATATTGTTTACACCGCTCATGGTTTAGTAAAAAAATGGTAATCCGGATTCTTGTCGACATTTTGTAATTCAATGTTAGAGCAATTCTAATATATACAAATCTAAATAAGCTGTTGGCTTGGCGCGTTTACCGTGGGTTGGAAGTGGACTGCATTTCTTTTCGATTGAATTTATGTTAACTAGTTCACTATTTCTCTACAGATTGCTTTCTTACTTCACTGGTCGGATGTAACTTCGATGGTGGTCGGAATAATACTCAAAAAACGCTGGCTGGCTTGGGTCGCTTTTATAGCAGTCGTCCTATCGTATTTTGCTACTTTTGGTGCTATATACTTGCGTGTGCCGTGTGCAAGTTGAAAAGAAGTATATAGTGCTTCTCCCTTCTCGTTCGATGTCCTTTACATTCTACCTGGAGTGCGTTTTTGCCACGATGGGTGGTTTGGGTGATCGTTTGCGTTGTGTTTTGGAAGCTACTATGGCTTGTGTCGCACGGAACATGCTCCGCCCGGTTGACTCGTAGATTCAACAGCACTCAGGGTTGGTGGCTCGTTGTCCTCAATCGGAAAAAAACTGCGATCCGGTTGATCGATCGTCGGTAGGTAGCTCCGTTAGACGATGGCACGGACCAATCCATCTGTCCCTGGGAATACCTGCATGATGCGGCTTAGCTTCCAGTTAAGCGGTGGTTGATTTTTGTCCTCCAGTAGAACTACCATTCCTGGGCGAAGGTTGGATGTCGTCTTGGTATTCTTTAACTTCGGTTAAAGGCTGCACAAATAATCTCTGGACCAAGATTTCCAGAAAGCCTCACGCATGTTTTGTAGATGTCGCCATCTTTTCAGACGATTAAAGTGGATGTCAAATCGTTTGGTAGCTGACCTCTGGACACGATGTCTGCCAGATTATCACCAGATCGGATGTAGCACTAGCGATATCATGCAGTGTTGGTATTGATTTCGTGAATTCGGTTTCTGACAAAAATCTTGAGACGATCAGCTGATCGTTTCATCCACGCCAGGACCATTTGATTGTCCGACCAGAGTACCACGTCACGGAATTCCATTTGCATGGCTGAGATAATCCTCTGAATGAGTCGAGTTAGTAGCAATGCAGCACACAGTTTCTTTCGAGGCGTTGAAAGGTCGTGTAGTGGAGCAACTTTGGACTTGCTACTCAGCAACTTCATCTTGGCGGAACCGTTGGAGAACAGGCTTCGAACATAAACACATGCACCATACGCCAATGTTGATGCGTTGGCAAAACTGTGGATTTCGTAGGACATTGTGCCGGCCTTGCGATGAGGAAAAGATCGGCTTTTGGATACTAAAGCAAGCCTCCATTCGGTCCGTATTCTTCCAATGGAACGGGCTGTTCCAGTCGATCGTAAGGAATGTGCTCCAAAAACTCTTTTGAGTTGGAACACCACTCTTTTCAGTAAGCCTTCCAGCTGCCTTGCTGCTTCGAGGGCCTCCGGAAGTGAATTTGCACAGGAAAGTGCATCGTCGACGTAAAAATCCTCCTTGGCGATTTGTGCACCGATCGGAAAATCGGTTGATTCATCATCGGCGAGCTGCTGCAATCACCAGGTAGCTGTGACGGCTGCTCACACCAAAAGACACGGAGATAGTGTGTGTCCCTTGGATGCATCTTGATTTGTCGATACATCTTCGGCACGTCGGCTGTGAATGCAACTGGGTACTTGCAAAACCTGAGTATGACGTCATAGAGTTCTTTCTGTATCACTGCACTACTTTTTTTTTCCTTTGGTTTGTTTTCCGTCGATCTTGTTTTCCGTGCTGAGCACCAATGCTACCGATGCCAGGGAGGCAGCTCCCACACCTGGACCCCCTACATATCGACCCATCAACTCATGAACCGGGGACCAAAGGCTTTACTTCCGGTAACGGTAGCCTCACTATCACCTGATCGCGCTGGTGGGTGGCGTGGCCTCACACTCCTGTTCTTCCTTCGTCAGAGGACTCGAATCTGGCACCTCTTCGAGCCTCCAAAATCGTTGAATGGATTCCTCGATGTCATCCAACAATACAATGAGCGCATGTTGTGGTTGATTGACGTTGATCATGTTAGTGAATACACCACCTAAAACCCATCCAAGGCAGGTCTCACGGAGATCGGGGAGGTTGTCGTCGTCGAGTTTGATATGTCCTGGTCGCATCAACTTGAAGAATAACTGCATCAAGAAGCATATCGATCTTGTCCGGTTTGTAGAGTTCCGGATCGCCTAGTTGGACGCTGAAGGGAATGTTCCAAGATGACACGTCGATTCTTGTTGGCGGGATGACACCTGTCAAATTGGGGGTAACCAAACATTCCACATGTGGTTGGAAGTCGAGTCGAGATTGGATGTTAACCATCACCTTGTCGTGGGCAACAGTCCTGACGTCGTTGATGCCACAGATCGGAATGTAGAGACGATGCCTCTGAACTCTTTTGCAAAATTGTTTGTTACGAAATTTACCTGTGAGCCGCTGTCTAGCAGTACTCAGCAGGAATGCAGTTGATTGCTTTCGTCCAGCACGTTGACAACCGCTGTCAGCAGGAACACAGTTTTCGTTGAATCGGCGTAGTTACACGAGCAGGATGTGCTCGGTATATCTCTTGCGGATGGCGGGTTTGCTATCGTGCTATTCAGTTGAACTGTCCGGGACTTTTCTTCTTTCGGAACGGACACGTTGGCTTTCGGTTCTCGGTTTACCTCGTCGTTGTGGAGTTGTGTATGGAGCCGCTTCTGACTCTTTTGGCAGCACCTCGGCGATGAACACTCCTTGGGGCTGTGCCCGTTGTGCAGACCTTGGTAGTTGCGATGTGCACCTTGGCATAAATCACAAACCTCCTTGCTGATTGGTGAGGTTGCGGCGGCGTGGATCTTCGGGTTACTTGCTTTCGGTTGGAATGCTTGTACTTCGGGGTCGATTTGGAAGCGGGCTGCGTTCTGGAAAGCTGTTTCGCAGCTCTCCAACATTTCATATTTCGATTGCAGGAGCGTATTGGTTTGCGCATACTTGGGTAGCACTCCCTTCTTCTGTGTGCCTTCTCAAGCCATCCTGGTTGTGTTGTCCATGGCGATCGTTAGCATATGAACCAGAAATAAATCGGAAATATCGAGGAATTCCTGTTCAAGATACTTCAGGCTCTCGACGTGGCGGGTGCACTCATCGGGCAGACGTTGCACCTACTAAAAACTAATGCCAACAGCGACATTGACAGGTTTCAGTGTAAGAAACACTTTTCACTACTAACTTCTACTACTACTACTACTTCTACTAACTTGCAAGCAAGGTTGCAAATACTCATTTCAGCTAAAATAATATTTTTCGGAATAATAAAACCAAAAGATGGTATGATGGCATGTTTTACTTGTAACTTACAAGAAGAGGTTACAAAGTATGCGTTTGAAACATGAAACCTGTAAATTTTGCTTTCTATGAGTCACAATCAGCGATTTTCTGATCGCTGAGTGAGTGAGTGAGTGAGTGAGTGAGTTTGTGAAAAATCGCTGATTGTGACTCTCATGAAGTGAAACAAACAGGTTTAATATGTCAAACACATTCTTTGCAACCTCTTCTTGTATCCTACCAATTCAAAATATGATCATGGCATCTAATTATTTCATAATTTAGAAAAACATTGTTTTAGCTGAAATGAGTATTTGCAAACTTGCTTGCAAGTACAAAATATGGTCAGAATATATTATAATAATGTCTAAATATAATATAATATGAGGTAATTTTTTTTTATGGAAAAGATTCATTACATCGTATCGCACGTTACTATAAAGTTAAAGAATAACTCCAAAAAGTATCATCTAAATTTGAGAGTTCGAGGATGAAAATCTTTCAATTTGAGTAAAGATAAATGTATTTAACAATTGTGTAACACTTTTGATCTCTTTGTTTCAGATTACCTAAGTTGTTTCTTTGTGAGTTTTGCTTGAAGTACACCAAAAGTAAGGCTGTTCTGCAGCGGCATCAAGACAAGTGCTCATGGCGACATCCACCAGGAACGGAGATCTACCGTTGTAACGACATCTCAATCTTTGAAGTGGACGGCAATGCAAACAAAATATATTGCCAGAATCTTTGTTTGTTAGCGAAGCTGTTTTTAGATCATAAGACCTTGTACTATGATGTAGAACCTTTCCTATTCTACGTCCTAACTAAGTACGACCGTAAGGGATACCATCTAGTAGGTTACTTCTCTAAAGAGAAACATTGCCAGCAAAAGTACAACGTATCCTGTATAATGACAATGCCACAGTACCAACGACAGGGTTTTGGCAGATTTTTAATTGATTTCAGCTATCTATTAAGCCGCGAAGAAGGTCAACCCGGTACTCCAGAGAAACCGCTCTCTGATTTAGGTCGCGTTTCGTATCATGCGTACTGGCGATCGGTGGTGTTGGATTACTTGTATCGCAGTAGAAACCGAATCGTCTCTCTGAGAACAATTTCCCATGAAACAGGTATTGTGATTGCAGATGTAGCGCTAGCGTTTCAGTTGTTGAACTTTATTAAGTATATAAAGGTGGTCAAGGATGGGCTTAAAGTATACCAACCTGTAATCTGCGTGGATTGGGGCATTGTTGATAAGAATTATGAACGATATGTGCAGTCAAAAACAAGACGTACTATTGACAATGAATGTTTAAGGTGGACACCGCTATTATCATCTGTACCATTTTTTGTCGACACTGAACTAACGGCGGACATTTTGTCTGTAACTGATAAAAGATTGAAACAAGAGAAATCTGACGATGTTATCAAGACCCCAGAGCCGGACACCAGTAAACATCCAATTTCTGTTGTAGCTGCCTTACAGAGTGACGTTTGCGAAGAGTTTAGAGGTGTGAAGAAACGAGGCAAGCGATATTCGTCTATTAAGTCCAAGTTGCTCAAGAAACCTACACCTGAAAAACAAGCAGTGGTGATAGATCCTCCAACCCCTGTGATGAGCAAAATCGAAAAACATTCGTCTAACATCTTGGAAGCAACGTCTTCTGGTCGAAAACGTGTGAGGCCCAACAAATACAACGAAACCACATACGATGCTTTCGGTGGAAGATCGACACAATTCGAGGAGCCTAACGCATCTGAGGACCAGCATTTCAGAAAGCGAAGAAGATCAGAATACCTTGAAAACACTGCAACTGAACAGAAACGGGCTCGGCTAAGTCCAGAAAATGGTGGAAAAGTTTCAAAAGATCCTATCAAACAAACAAGTGTTTCCAGGAGGTCTAAGGAACAACAAAGTGAAAGTATTAAGGATGAAGAACCCAAGGCTATGCTTGATGCTAAGAAAAGGCGTCGTATATCAGAACGGAGAATATCAAACCAGTCAGAATCTATTGTAGCTGCCGTGGGAACTGTCAATATTGATCAAGATATGACCTCAGATGATGACGTGAATACTTGCGATACGGAAAAGGAGCGTCAAAAACATTCTCTTCTTCGTATTCCAGAAGTGCCCCCCGGAAGGATAAAACGGCGTCCTGTACAACGGTTTAGCAGTCGCAATTCTAGTAGAATAGCGGCATCTTCCACTTGTGTTTCGAGTGCAGATAGTGATGGACAGACCATTTCGTCACCAGTCATAAAGAAGCAAATTACTTTAGTTGAGATGCTTCGAGCAAAGTCAGTGTCCCATGAATCAAAGGAAGACAATCAATGTGATACGGATTCTCAGCAGGAAAATGCAGCTGATGTACGTTCGGAAGTCGTACCAGAGAAGGCAAAAAGTGTTTCTCCAAAAGATAGGAAAAGACGTAGTAGTAGTAAGAAGCTGAACTCTTCAAGTGAGGTTTCTTCCGGCGAAGCAGATGACGAGATGGAAGAAGAAGCTGTGAATAAAAATAATTTGCAGAAATCACCAGCAAAGGATCTTGTTGCACAGGAAGATGATTTGAATAAGACGATTGGAGGATATGAGAACGACCAAAAGCTAGCGGATAGTTTAAAAGAGTCTCCAACGAAGCTAGATGAGCGGAAGATATCGTTTCTGCAAAGTATTCAAACTGAAAAGTTAGAATCCAGTAAAAAAAGCGAAGATCCTGGAACAGACACCGACAACAGTACTGTAGGGAAAATCCAGGATAACAAAAATGATAGTATTGTTACTTGCGACCAAGAATCCGTACCTACATATTCAGGAAATGAAGCATCCCTCATCGAAAAAGAAGTTATTGAAACTGTGGTAAGTGAACCAAATGGTAAAAGTGAGGGTGAAGAAGAGAGTCAAGAACTGGCTACCGAAGTGTCTTTATCCCAGGAGCGAGTCGATCCCACAATTGATAATGTTCCGGCAGATCTTGATTCTAAGGACGCTTTAGAGGAATCTCATACTTGTGCAACTATTAATTATGAGATTAAAGATGCAGTGAACAATAATGAAAAATTTCCCACGCCAGAAAGAGAATGTGTGCAAGTAGTTCAGCCATGTTCCAGTGTTGTGCAGGAAACCGCTTCATGTAACCAATCTATTTCTAGTGCAGATTTGAAAACGGAGGAAGCGCCTGAAGATAAACCGCCGACGAAGGATGCATTGGAAACGCTATGGAATAGGAAAGACGATGTTGCTGAAGAAATAGCTGAGGACAACCTTTCCAGTGAGAAAAAAGACGATGAAAATAAAGACGATTTTTCTACTGAGCTCAGTGAACAGATTTCTGTTATAACGGAGTCAAAATTTGGTCCAGGAAGCTCTTTGGTAACCGAACAAACTGCAACGGAAACAAAGATAGATGAAGAGTCGAGAGCTGATGAGAGTACAGCAGTTATCAAAGAAAATGAAACTTTAGGTGTTACAAGCACTGTGAAAGAACCTCAACAACAGGTACACACGTTTTTTCCTTCCCTAAATCCGAACAGCGATATAGGCAGTAGTAGCTGTAGCAGTAGTAATACGGCGAGTGTTTTAAAAATAAATGAAAACTATGAAAAACATATGGAATCTCGAAGGCCTAAGATTATTGTTGATGTAAAATCTAGCAGTGACAATTCGCAAAACTGTTCGGAAAAGGAAACCAAAATTGAACATTCCACGGTTGATTTAACAGAGAGTAAAATTGTAATTAAAGCGAAACCAAATGAGTCGATAACCAAAACAGATGTTGATGAGAAGGGAATTACCGATAATCCCACTTGTGTTAGTACAATAGAAGCGGCTGGTTCGCATAAAAAAAAGTTCATAAAAAACGCAGCCGAGGAAGCTAACAAACAATTTGCAGCAGAAGCTGAACAACACAAAGAAAAATCCGTTATACATCAATGCGACGATGTAAAAAGTTTCAATATGGCACTGCCAGTATCGAGTACAGCCAAAATACGAGAAGAGCAGGCAACTTCTGGTATCAAACCGATGGATATAAAAAAAGAGCCTTCACCAACAAAGTTTCCAAAAACCGACATAACCTGTCAGGTTCAACAAACGACGTATAGCGGACCGGAAAAAATCAAAACCCTTGAGCCGAAATTATTAAACGTTTACGAAAATCAAATCGTGTACGAAAATACGCAAAAGTCATGTACTGAACCCAAAAAATCGAAAGAAAAATGTGCGGGTGCTGAAGACTTGAAAAAGAACAAGTCCGAAGCAAAGAAAACACAAAACGCCTCTGTTAAGTCTGAATCAAAAATCGAAATGAAAGTCAGAACTGAGCAAGACAATAGTGGGAATAGTAGCAGTAGCAGCACTCCGAAGAGGCCTGAAAGTATCAAGAAAGAGGCTATGAAAAACTCGTCTACGGGAAACGGGAACAGTTGCGCGAAAAGTGGTTTCAGTACAGATCAGCTCAAGCCAAACACTACACAACAGGAAATTAACAAAGCCAGTGGAAGTGTTCCGATGGTAAATTCTAGTTCAAGGACAGAAAAGTATTCGTCAAAGCATAGTATGCATGATGCGAAAACCATTGATCTTAACAAAATACCTCCACAATTTCCGGCTATCAATCAATTGCCTAATTATCATACTACGTCTCAATACTGGCAGCTGGATCCGTATTACCACCAAAGCTACAACTTATCACATCTAGATGCTACTAGCCAAAAATCGCCCAACAAGTTTCATCTCGATTTAGCAACATCCATGGCCTATGGAAGCTTTCCCTCTAATCTGTACCAAACTGCATTTCAGCAACATCAAGAACAGCAATACCAACAACACCAGCAATCATATCAAGCGAAGGAACGCTCAAATCAGCGATTGGACAAAAAGAATCAATCCAATCAGACGACCACCAACAACAGCATCGATGTTCATAAGCAGAACAAGAATGTCAAGACTATGGAGGATCAAAAGTACAACAAGAGCAGCGTGGTTGATCATCAAACGCAGCAGCAAATCTCTGGAGTTAATATGACGGTAAATGTAGATGGGAATTCGTGTGCCAAGTCGGTTAGTGCTACGCAGTTCTCAAGCCACAATACCATCAAGGGTAACTCCAAAATAAAAATGGAAAACAAAGCGAATGAAAATTGCATGATTAGTAAATCGAGCCAGGTACAACAACAGAATCAGCAACCAGTTCATGGGAATGTAAATCATCAGTCTGCTTCGTGTCAGATGTTGACAATGCAACAGCATCAACAACAACAACAACAACACCAACAACAACAACAACAACAACAACAACAACAACAGCAGCAGCAGCAGCAACAACAATCACATCACAATCAACAGGTATTGAACAAAAGCATGCATCAACAAATAGTGTCTAACAAAGTCAGTTATTCAAACGAAGAGCTAAATCACCAGGAAACTACAAATAGCACTTCTAACATCTCAGCAACAGACCTGAAACAGAGTGGGAGCGGTCAGGAAGTGCAATCCATTGGTGTTTATACACCCGATTCGACGACAAATTCCGTACACAGTTTACACCAGTATGGACAGTGCGATTTGGACGTTACTCAGTTGGGTTTGGAATCTCCTGCTAGCATATCGAGTGATATGACGGCTCAAAATTCCGTTGAAAGTATAAGGCCATCTAGCGTTGTACCCCATCAAGTTAATCAGTACTCGGACTGCTCAATACAACAACAACAACAGCAGCAGCAGCACCAAACGCAGATGCAACAACAGATGAATATGCATACCCATGTACCAGCTTCTAGTCCACAGCAGCAATCGATGGCCATTATCAATAATAATCCAAATATAGACAGTTCCAATAGTGGGGGCGGACGAGGTAAGGTTCAACAGCAACAATTGCAAAATCAAAACAATCGAAATTCAAGCACAAATCGATCTACAACACCAAAGGTTAGCAGAAACACAGCAACTCCAGTGAGCAATCATCAACAACAGCAACAGCAACAACAGCGCCATCATAACCGAGCAACGCCACCGGTAGGCAGCGCTATCCAACCGTTAACCAGTCCTGGTCATCATCAGCATCAACAAGCACAGCAACAATCGATGCAACAACAGAACGTATCGCAACAACAGCAACAGCAACATCAACATCAGCTGGCCTTGCAACAACAGATGCATCAATCGTACGGCCATATTACGGGGTCATCGTTGAATCATCAAAACCATTCTCAAAATATGCACCAATCTGGATACATTACATCACAATTAGGAATCTCTAGTCAAGCATATCCACAATCGCCGACATCTTATGGAAGCGTCCCAATGACAACCGTGATACAACATCGGATGTCCGGTAGCCATACAAGCCTTGCAACACCGAATAGCCTTCACAGTCCGCATCAGCGTCTGGGACCGTCGCCTTCCTCATGTGCAGTATCGTCGGCCAATAATTTCTACATTCAATCCGGCAATGTGAGTCATCCACAGTCTCACACACCTATACCGGCACCTACTCCGACACCGACACCCACACCGACACCGACACCTCAGATCGATAATTCATGTCAAGCTGGAAACATCCAAGGCACCGTTAGTCAGGGTAATGTGATACAGGGTTCTTTATCCTGTTTGTCGAAATTGCAGCAGTTAACGACAAGTGTAGACATGGTGGGTTCTTCGTGTAATACCTCACCAGCAGGAGCAATCAACATCACCCCTCCACCAAATCATCATTCCCATGTTGGTGGTTCCATTACACCATCGCCATCTTCTCACATGTCCAACCAAAACACGGTTCGAAACATCTCCACCCCACCGGCTTCAATCCAAGCTCAGATGCCTTCACTCAATTACCACAAATACTACACAGGGAACATGAACGTCTCGCCAATAACAGGGTCGCAAAACAGCGGAGGGCGCCTGTCACGGAACACTGCATCCGCTCCAATTCAGCACATGAGCAACAGTTCAAGTCGGGTCAGTCCTAATGTTGCCATAAGCCCTAACCTAATGTCACCGTATAGTACATTGAATACAGCGTATCGTATGTCGGCTGCACAGCCTTCCTCAACTGGTGGTTATATTACCAACCCAGCGGCAGGATTTATAAACAATGCTACACAGATTCCCGTGCAAATGGGGGTCATGAATATGCAGTCACAATATCAGGACCCTTCAGCAATTCAACGCGCACAGCAAAATTCCATGTATCCAGCAGCGTATTCGGCCTATCTGCCAGCGATGAGACGATAGGAAAAGGACTAAGTGCAACATCGTTATCAGTTGATTGTTTGTTCGGTTTGGAAGTTGATTGTACGGCTTTAAATTTTATCAATGAATTTGATTTCAAAATTTCACTACTGGGTAACTGTGTTTTTAATTTTCAATTACGTATAGATCCCCATTACAGATGATTTTTGGTTCGCCCGCCATTCTCGTTGCACTTGTTCGTTTTCCCGTTTGACGTGTGCGATTGATCTCAAAATTTGAAGCTCTGGTTATACTTCGGCAAAGTCGTTATAATTTGATCGGATAAAATAATTACACTACGAAGTAAGCTGTTCTTTATTACAAAGTGTACAGTTTATATTATTTCTTACCAGTTGAAACGTAAAGTGTACTGTAAAATAGTGTACTGTAAAATAGTGACCCTGTTTTGTAAAATAAAAATTAGGGCTGTTAATGTAGATGTTAAATTTTTAAGAAACAATGATTAGCTATTCATAGGAAATACTGATAAAATGTAATTCTAGCAGGTATGGATACAACAATACATATGTATTTATTTCGGAACTTTTTTGTTTCATTTTTGTTGACAATTATTGTAACGGTTTTCTCGATAAAAAATATTAAAGCTATCATCCAGTTTTTTCAATCTATTTACATTTTATTTGCTTTGGTTAGATGACATGAATTTACACTCCTCCTTATTCTGCGAGTCACGTGACTCTCTGTCACCGCTGAGGTGACAATTGTCACGTCGTGTGAGGTGACTTTCCGTGCAAATAAAATGAAGCGTTACCTCACACGAGGTGACTATTGTCACCTCACCGGTGAGGGAGAGAATCACGTGACTCGCAGAATAGGGGGGACTATCAGGGTTATTCTGCGCGGCGCGTGAGGTGAGGTGACTCGAGTCACTTGTGTCACCCGATTCCAGCTGGCGATTGAGGTGAGAAAAGTCACTTGTTATGAACCCGATGAACTCTCACCTTATTTTCACAGTCGTTTTTCGAGGTTGAGGTTGAGGTTGAGGTTGATTGACCGCCCACGGTTGCTACTCTGTTATTGCCAGATCAGCTGTAATTACACAGAGAACCAATAGATAATGCTTGGGACTAGCAATCATCCTCAATGTGTAAAAACTGGTGATCTTAAATTAGGCAATACCAGCGCCGGCCGCGCCCGAACACAGGTCAAGAAAGGAATGGGAAGGATTGTGTTGACATGACACTCGTTTTGATGGAAGCCGAGAACACCTCTGCACTTCCACGAGGAATCACTGGGATGTTGGATAAGAGGGTTGGGTTTGCAGCAGGGTTCGTTTTGGTAAACGATAAGCTGAATTGATGTCCTAACGATCATATAACGCGAAGGAGCTTGGGACTAAACCCACGATCTTCTGCTCAGTAAGCAAAAACGTTTGCCACTAGGCAGACGAGCACCTTTTTAATCACCGAGTTGCTGTTATTACCATGTAGTCATATTAACAAATAAAAGGATTGACGAATCTTGAATGTGGATGGGCCTGAGATTATGTTCTGTGATGATGTTCTGCTCAGTAAGCAAAAACGGTTGCTCTAAGGCCACCGAGCCCCTCATATCACATAATACCGTTGCTCAAATTTTTGTATCCATTCAATCCCGGAACTAACGACAACAACGAGTTTCGCAAAATACACGATACACAAGCGATTTTACGATAAATCTCTTTGATATGTAAGGACCTGGGACCGCGTTTTCCTGCTCAGTAAGCAGGCCACTGTAACCGACGATCTCTCAAATCCGAAAACGAGTTAAGCGAGTTATAACGACCTTCTTCCACTAGCAGGCCTGTTTCTGTTTGCACAGACAGTCCCACTAGTTTCCGATACATTTATAGGGGATAGTAGGAGATTAAAAGAATGGAGAAGAGTTAAAGAGGTTTTTTTGTAGTTGTTTTGCTGAAAAGAGAGAAACAGAACTAAACGAAATTACACCTGTTGAAAAAAGATAAGTCTATTATTTTGGTTAGTGATCGTTTGGATTTGGGTCACCCCACGTTGTGTTTAGGTTAGTATAAATAAATAATACTATATAGTCATATAAATCACCACAGCTCATTATCTTCAGCGTTATCGGCGTTTCTGGATCTTTAGTTGCCTCTGTGATATAGGGGAATTTACGTATTCTCGTCAATCTAAGCAGTGTCCACACTTCTATTAGCATTTTCTCAGCGTCACGCACATATATGACGTGTCTGTTGGTTTACATTCATCTGCTGCTTGCTTCTCTATCCATTTTAATCGACAGAATTCTTCAAAACTGTTTGAAAGCGTTTTTACAACGCTCCAAACTTCTCAGGTGAGTGTGACTATTGTCGGCAGCCTCGTTTTCTTCGGCAACCTTCCCATTAGAACTGCGTGTTAACCAGCTGTTCTATTATCGGCAACTTGAAATCAACCCTATTTTAGAGTACGTATGCTTCATTTGAAGAAAAATCTGCCATAACAGGACTGCTCAGACGTACACATACAATCAGATTGAAGCTGAAAGACTAAAGAATCGTTTGGATGCATTCAGGGAAGTGTGTTGATGGGAAAACATAGTGAAATTAACGTTTAAATTTTGGTTGCCGAAAACAGTCAATGGGTGCTGAAGCCGACATTTACCCTACTTACTTGCGGCATACTATTTTGGGAGTGTATATGAGCGTGTACCATGTACGGTAGCTCATCTCTCATCGTGATGGTGGGACATAGTAGACAAATTAGAGAGAAAACAAGGAGGTATTAGTATTAGTTATATGTAAACAAGCAAAACAAAAGAAGAGAAGAGGAAAGAAGAGCAGAAAAATAAAAAGGGGATAAAGTAGATAACAAAGAAAAGAAACGTAGGCAGATTATTAGAAAAGGCATTATCCGAGACTCAGCAATCAAATGTCACTCCCACCGAGATCTCAGCGAAACCCCCTTCCCGCCGAGACCCGCACAGCCGAGCTCGGTAGAAAAAACTAAGTGTGTAGATAGATTAGTAGGAAAATAAATAAAACTACTTTATGACTCAAAGTGCAATGAATGAGCGTTAGTTTCGGGATCATTTCAGTGTTAGAGTTATGTTATTTTTGATCCGTAATCAGTCCTGCCGACCCCTCCAACATTAGTTGCAGGCAGTGGTTGTTAGATAATGCGGCACTGTAACTACTACTATTTTAGAGGTATGATTCGTCAAGTTTATACAACTCAATGTTTCAATTGAGGCAAACTATCTATCTTACAATTACAAAAGCAAACCTAAACTTACAATTATATGCAAATGCAAAATGAAACTTGACAAATCATCGTCAATCCCCTTATTACAGGGCAGGGCCTGACGATTTGAATCTAATTTTGATCAGTGAACGGGCACCATATGGTACATTTTCTCACCATGAACCTATCATTTCCAGCCTATCTGAACTATTTAATAAATGGAAGCCATCACATGGGTTACGCTCCCCCTAAGCAGGTCCTCCGCATCCTGTCTCTGTCTTATCTCAAATACAAAATGCCAATGGTATGAATGTATCTATATATAACTTGGAAATGACGTACAATCAAATAAACCCGTAACCCACTCACTTGGTCAGGCTTCAGAATCGTCCAGTGGGCAGTGCGCTCTACACGCCAAGTTACCTTTTTTTTTCAAATTTACCGCAAATTTTATATTTTACCCATTGAGTGTTGATTAGTCACAATGAAACATTGTGAGAGAAGTTGAGGTTACTAGTGTATTAAATAATCTAGGTCCTATTTAAAATTATATCTGAAAAATCCAAATCTGGCCAACGCCCACCCTAATCCTAAACCTGTTCTAATCCACCTGAAATGACTAACGAATGGAAGACTTTGACTACCCAGCCATGCAATAGTCTCATTCCGTGCCTTATGGCAACTTGATGATTCTATTGCGCTCATCTTCTGGCACCACCCAGGGGAGACTTGGTCATGTACCCAATGCTTAACTTATCTCCATTCCACTCAGCTACTCGCAATTTCTTGTGATATAGTGGGCGGAATATTATTATATGAGACAATTCAATGCAGACGTCTTTCCAAATTTGGCAGATCGACAGGTAATCGGTGAGTTACCACGATAGTTGCTATTCAACAACTCGACAACGTACCATCGTCAACGCATGCTATGAAAATTTCCCATTGCAGACGCCAACGAAATGACGTCATCGAGCTATCGATCAACTACCCTGGTTATCGCCTGGTACCTTATAGCACGATGCTAGGAGGCGAACCGGAAGAATCGATGAGCTACCTCCCCCTTATTTTCACAGTCGTTTTTCGATGACGAAAGTCGTACTGAAGTGACGATTTCAAGAGTCGTAACCTTCGCTGCAGTCGACTAGATGGAAACCGTTGGAGTTATATAAGCTTTGGTTGCGGTTGTCGGTAATTTATTACTTCTAAATTTCTTTCACTAAACTTTTTTATTGTTTTATACCAATAATTTCTTCAGCTTCCTCAATATGGGTATTTTTGGAGTCTGGGTGACGTGTAGGGACCGGATATCGATGTCTGAGGCCATTTTGAAATTCCATATGGCGGCTTCCGGTTAGAGAAAAACATGGAAATTCTGCCAAATACCCCACAAAACTGGTATTTTTGGAGTCGGAGTGACGTGTAGGGATCGGAAATCGATATCTGAGACCATTTTGAAATTCAAGATGGTGGCTTCCGGTTGGATAAAAACTTGAAAATTCTGTCAAATACCCCTCAATATGGATATTTTTGCAATTGGGGTGACGTGTACACACTTAATCTAGCTCGGTAAAATCTCCAACAACCGATTACCTCGGCATTTACTCTTGCTGATATATCTGCAAAATATCTGTTTGTTAGCAAAATGTTATTTGTTAGCTGAGTCTTAGCAAATGGTTTTACTGAATCTCAGCAAAATAAATTGCGGAATTACTCGGCTGTTGGAATATCGGCGAAACAATTTAAGTGTGTAGGGACCGGAAATCGATGTCTGAGGACAATTTGAAATTCAAGATGGTGGTTGGAGAAAAACTTGAAAATTCTTAGTTGAAGATGCTAATTTCAAATAACAGACTGTAGTGGTAATTTTTTTTTATACGATAGATGGAGGAGATGAAAGCATAGAGTTGATAGTTCCGTTAGAGTACGGCAGTGTGAAGATTGTATATAGATATTAGACAAGCGAGCTAGGACAACTTTTAAGGAAGGTACAAATCGGTTTTTTCATCTCTCTTTACCAAACTCCTCCTTTGGAGAGGGATGGTGAGGGGTGTCCCCCCCCCCCCCGCCACCACTGGCAAAAAGAGATGAAAACCGACCCGCTCAAGTACCAACTGTGTGTTTGAAACAGTTCTACCGATTTTTTACCGCACTTCAGTTGTTATTTGAAGGAAGGCATCCAGTCGTAGGTTTGGAAATTGCAACTATTGTTTACCCCTACCACGATATGTGCTCCTGTCATCGTCGACTTGACGATCTCGAGGGGACACGGGTGGGGTAAATTCTGTCAAATTCCGCAAACAACCCAATTCCATTACTTCATTATGATGGCTACCAAGCCTTTGGGATTTTTTCCTTATTAGATATTTGAATAGATTTTTCTCCTTTACTTTACTAAAACCTTTTGTTATTATTAGTTTG